CAGTGCGCCCCAGGGTGGCTGTGGCTACAACGTAGCTTGCCGTCACCAGTGTGTGAATGGGTGGATGACTGGATATGTAAAGCGCTTTGGGTCCTTAGGGACTAGTAAAGCGCTATATAAATACAGGCCATTTACCATTCTCTTTGTGACTGAGGTCCGTACTGGCGGTGAGATTTGTATTGAGCGTGCAGTGCAGAGTGATCAGACACACGTGCTGTTCCACAAACAGGATGTTTTTATTGTAGTCACTGCAGCAAGTGAGATCAGTGAGAAATAAACCAGGAGAGATGGAAGGAACAGATCAAACAGCAGATCTTAAGTCCATGATACAATCTGAATGAGGAGAAAAGGCTCACTGTGTGGAAGGCTGAGATACTCGTCATTTCTGAGGACGAGCAGCAGAGACAGTTCACAGAGTATTTTTCCAAAAGTCTCGGGGATCATCGAGATGTTTTCTGGCAAAACTGAGAGCAGCCTTTGTTCCTTTTGCTCAGCAGGGGTTTCTATCTTACAGTGTGATTTGTAGATTTACACAACTGAAATCAATAATATGTAAGCAGACACCCAGCTGCATCTGTCCACTAAACCTGATTCTGCTCTCCCCGTCCTCCCTCACCCTCTGCTTAGCTGAACTAAATTCATGGTTCTCTTCTAATTTTCTCAAACTCAACAGTAACAAATCCGAGCTCCTCTTGGTCGGCACTAAATCAACATTATCCAGAACCAACAGTTTCTCTGTTACTATCAATAACTCGCCAGTCTTCGTTTCTTCCTCTGTGAAAAGCTTGGGTGTCATCCTCCACAGTACTCTATCTTTCAATTCACACATTAATAACGTGACTCGGTCTGCATGTTTTCAATTGCGCAACATTAATCGTCTCCGTCCTTTTCTCTCCCCACATGCCGCTGCCATTCTTGTCCACAGCCTTGTTACTTCCCGGACTGATTATTGTAACTCACTTCTTTCTGGTCTTACTCAAACATCCACCCACAAGCTCCAACGCGTCCAGAACTCTGCTGCCCGTATCATCACCAGGACCCCCTCTGCCCACCACATCACTCCTGTCCTGCAGCAGCTTCATTGGCTCCCGGTCGCATCAATTTCAAAATACTCTTGTACACATTTAAGGCTGTTCATCATCTCTCTCCTCCATATCTCTCTGACCTGGTTAAGATCACCGCCCCATCTCGTTGTCTCAGATCTTCTTCTTCCCTTTCACTCTCCGTCCCCTCCCCCCGTCTTGCCACCACGGGGAGCAGGGCTTTCAGCTGCTCCACGACTCTGGAGTTCCCGACCTCCTGATTTAAGAAACATCTCTTCCTTCTCTCTCTTTAAGTCCAAGCTCAAATCCCATTTGTACAAAATAAATGTACCCACATACCCACATAACCTCTTCACTCTGCTATTTTATTTATGTCTTGTGCTTTTATGATTCTGTAAACTGCTTGCTTTTATGTTGCTTTTATTCTACTCTGTACAGCGACCTTGAGTGTTTTGAAAGGTGCTTTCAAATAAAATCTATTATTATTATTATTATTATATTTCATGAGCTGTCCTGGCTGATTTCCACCCTCTACACCAGGGGTGGGCAATTAATTTTTACAAGGGGCCACATGAGAGACCCGAGTTGCGTCAGAGGGCCACATCAACAACATCTTGAACCCAAGTCTGCTTAACTTTCTTAAATTGTAAAATTCACTAAATTATATATTACAAATAGCTGGCACAAACGACAAACAGGAGGGAATGTTGGAATTGATATTTTTTATATTTTCATTTATGCTTAGAAATATATAATCATCTGTATGCTGATAAAAATCACATCCTCATTAGGTCTGATTAGATTCTGTGTGCATGTGTACCATGAGATGAGAGGAAGCAGCCTCAACCTGATAATTTCCATTATAGCTTTAGTCTGTTTCTTCAAAGTGCAAGACTCCACACCTTTAAATGTTCGTCTGAGACAACACCTGTTGCACGTTACTGTTCTTACTTCTGCTGTTCTGCATGCCTCATACACACAGTTTAAGATCATTGAAAGGTTGTATGTCTATGGATAGTATAGCTGGAAACACACACACAGACAGAATACAGACACTGATGTTCAGAGATGCCTGCTTAAGAAGGTCACGTGTATTTGTAATTGCATATTCATGAATGATAGCTTGCTGACAATAAAAAGAGCTGCAGTGAAGGAATCAGTCGAAGTGAGCTGAGTTCAGGTGAAGGAATCCTTCCCTCGTGAGCCACAAACGCAGAGCACCTTCTTGCCTTGTTTTGTCATGCATTTATTGGTCTTGTGTTCCAGCGGGGTTTTGTACTTTAATAAAGCCAACACTCCTCATCCCCGTGATGATGATCACTGGACAGGAAAGCAGGTGGGCATTCAGTGAAGGATGATGTCAGTCGAAATCCTTCTGAACGAACCGTCTAACACGGCGACGTGATGACGAGCCACAAATGACCAAATCAGTTCACAGGTTGGACTCTGTTCCCCTCTGTCTCCACTGAGAACATCTCACATCTGCTCCTCTCACACAACATCACACGGACCCTTTCTCCCTCCTCTCTACTGGACGTCACATCGTCCAATCACATGATTTAACACAAAGTTTAAACTTGACCTTTAAAATCACTTCATTGAATCTTATTTAACACAGAAATACCATCACATGTGGATGTGATTCATTTCATGTTTCATTCAGTTTATGTAATTCTGCTTTAATCAGATTAGCCTTCAGCACATTCTCACATGATGTGCATTGTAACATAATCCCTTTACTCCAAAAACAGAGGAATACGTCCTTTTAAAACTCTGTGTTTGTTCATTTATTTAAACTTCTTTTTATTAAATCATGCAAAGTATAGGTCAGATATTCTCTGAGATGTGTCGTCTTCCACACACACACAGGTCACTCTGTGATCCATCATATAAACTCAAAGTTTACACCTATGCACGACCAGCATTAAGACCAGTTAACTATCAGCAAGGTCGCATATGAATGGTTCTGTGTTCAACGACCTTTCATTGAAAACCAAGTGTAATGATGGTGTGGCGACAGAGTTCTCTTCTCACACTCCTGGAGTCACCTGCTAGTCTACCAAGTTTAAAGATCCTGTACACACGAAAGTAAGCCACCAGAAGAGTCATTTTTACTCCTTTTTATTTTATTTGTATATTGACTTATATCAATGTATATTTGATGAATAATGAAAATGCTTTATTATTAAAATGGGGAAACACTATGTAGCACTCTGATCAGTGTTCGCATAAGGCTGGATATTAAGACCTTTGTTCTCAACTGTGGGCGTGACAGTCTCCCGACCTCGTGTCACCTGACACTGCCCCAACGGTTACCCAAAGCTTGCACCCAGACGTTGTGGGCAGGTAGCCAGACTTGCTTGTTTGGTACCTCCCACCTAAATATTTTTGCTGATCAAGCACATCCCTCTAAAGCATTGGTAGACAGCTGTGGTCTCTGGACACTGTAGACACTGCTCAGGAACAACTCAGGAAATACCCGGGAGATGTGCCAGGCGCCACAGGACACCGCCAAAGGTTTCTTGTCGGTGCCCTGAAGGGTCAGAGCTGTTACGGCAGCAAGAAGAGGCCTGCACAATATTAGAGAGGGGGTTTGGGTGTTATGGCTGTTAAGTACAGCTGACATTTAAACATGGATACACACGGGGCCATTTACCTGCATCTCGTCATCAAATCACATGATGCAGCACACACCAGACTGAAGCGGCTGGTCCTTCCCCGGAGCCACTGCATCGAGCCTGCAACACACTCAGGATTTATTCAAAGCCAACTAATGGATGGCAAATTATATAAAGCATCACTCTGGAGGTCTTAATAATCAGTTTACCAATTTAAGCATCATTTGAAACAGTATAAATATACACACAAAGGAAGCAAAGTAAACAAAGATGTAGTGCAGTTTGGAAAAGCCTAAAACAGTATGTTTGCTCCTTACTCTGGCCATCTAATTCTAGTTATTTCTCTCTATCTGATACATCAGACGGCAGCTGGAAGGGGTCAGCAGTTTAATTACCTCTGAGACTGGAAAAAGAGAGCATCATTCTCTGAATGGAAGGTATGAACTTGTCTGGACTCCTCAGTGCTGAGAGGACTTCCTGGTTCGCTTTGACTGGCTCTCAGTGAAGGACACAGTCCTGTCTCCAGGTCACAGTCACTCCAGGAGAGAAGACTGGCAGACTGGACAGGGTTTCCATTGGGGTCAAGGGGGTCTGCCTGATCTTGGCAGCTTCTCACAGGCTCCAAGTCGTTCTGGGACGAGGACTCTGGTTTGATGTTCGGTATGGGGAGGGCGGGTGTGGAGGGCACGCTGTGGGACAACTGCATTTTCTTCATGTGCTGGATTACAGAGGCTGCATTGAAGGCTTGCTGTTGGAGATCCACAAAGTGAGCAGTTACTACTGGTGCAGCCTGCATCTTGTATAGAAAAACATCTAGCATAGGAGAAGTGTCTTTTAGAGAACTCCTGCTGGAATTATGAACATATGTTCATAATTATGAACATATGTTCATAATTCCATTATTTCAGAAACTTTACTAGGTCTGTACGTCTATAGAGGTGGAACAGGTACCCAGTGCAAGTTTGTTTAGACATACTGTTTTTGTTTTCTCATACGGCATAAGTCATTTGTTTTAGGATTCCTCTATCCTCTTTAATTTGAACTACTTATTGATAGAATTATATTGAATTCCATCAATATTAAAATGTCTTAATAGAATCCTTATAGCAGATGTTTTATGGATTAACATGTTTGTGTTAATACATGTGAATGGCAGTTGAAGGGGATTCTCTATCAACAGGAAAAGCAGTAAAACTTGTGAAAATATTACAATTTATGCACATTTTCCAGAGTCGTCCAATGGGCTGCACTGGAGTCTCTGCTGGGCCAATTCTGGGCCCCCAGCCCAGTGTTTGACACCCGTGGCGTATGTAGTCACCTTTCCAATCATTAGCAGGGCTCTAGACTAACTTTTTGCCACGGGCGTACCGGTACCGGTACCGGCACAAAAGTTAGGCGCACACAGATTTTATAATAATTTATATAATATAATGTGTTTTTCTGGATACACTGTGCTTTTTCAGCATTCAAAGATTGATGCCACCGTGTCAGAGCACTGGCTATGAATTTCAGAAGGATCAGGCCTTAACTTAACAGAAAAGTTAGCAATAGTTCTTTTCCTATTACAGCTACATCCACTTCTGTCCTGCCTAGGCTGCTCACTAGGGCTGGGTATCATCACTGATTTCTATAATCCATTCGATTCTGGTTTTCAAAGTCCCGATTCGATTCAATTTAGCCTCAGACAGTCAGAAATATTATAATTCTGATCACTTATCAGTACTGACTTCATCAGAATTGTGAACATCACAGCAGATGCCTTTGTGTGACAGTAACTGAGAATAAAACAGAAAAACATGAAGGAGATTTTCCTGGTCTGGCTTTTTATAGCAGATAACCTTAAAAATATTCTACAATGTTCTGCATATAAAGTTTAAATTTCTTCAGTACTGAACAAGCTCCGACAGCGTGTCCGTCTGCGGGCCGTCGGGTGAGAAAGCCGAGAAAGACAAAGCTGATTCTGATGCGTCGGTCTGTGTTTACGTCTTTGTGTGGAGTCCGTGTACCTGCTCTCATCTGCTGTTTGCTTGTTGTTGAAATGGTTTTGTGAGCTTTAATCTGAGAATCTGGCGTTTCTGGCAAAACACAGTTATATTTAAAAGTCAGGATTTAATGAATCGATATCGCTTTATTCAAGCTACTCACCTCCCACTTCCACCTGCACTTTCAACTGGACCACGGCCAATCAGAGAGGTCCCGCCCCTGACTATCTCTGATTGGTTTAGTCCACGATAGGGGCAAAATGTGTGTCTGTTGTTGACCACAGGGAAGGTTGCAGATTTTTTTTTTTTTTTTTTTGCTACCCGAACAGTTGGTTGCACAGGTGCAACCAAATATTTTTTTTGTTGTCGCACCACTGAAAAATTTGGTCGCATTTGCAACCAAATTGGTCGCACTCTAGAGCCCTGATTAGCCATTACCTTCCATTTGGATGTGGCAAAGTTTCTCTCCAACTGTTCACACACAGACTGATAAATGTCCTGGTCTCTAGCTGTGTCTCCAACAATCCTGCGAGGGTAACATGAGCAGACGTACAGTTAGGTTCTTGGGTATTTGGACAATGTTGCGTCTGTACACCATCATCGGGCAGATAGAGCTAGTCTTTGTTCCACATTCTCCGAGGCTCAAAAGTAGTAAGACAAGCAAACATAATGTGTTCTCTCTTAACCGAGGTCTGCCTTCTGTCTTTCAGGCCTTTGTCTTGCATAGCTGGCCATAACTTTCCTTCTTTTTAAGAATGATTGTTGATTTGGCCAATCATACAATGTTTGCTATCTCCCTTATTTTGGTTTTTCATCCTGCTGACAACCAAATAGTTGAAGACTTGGAATGAACCCCAGATATTAGACCAGATCAGGTTCTCACGTGTCCACGAAGCTGCTTCTATAGACTCAAAAGTAACCAATTACTTTTGAGTCTCTCAGAAAAAGACTGTAATTCATAAACAGCTGATACTTTTGTTCATAAATCAAGCAGAAAGCTATCTTCAGTCACATGTTGATTATGTGGTTTAAAATGTGTAATCATTGTCCAAAACATTATGACATTTAAGAGGCAAAGCACTAACCAGGGGTGCCTGAGTGCCTGTTCAGTGGTGAAGCGTTTAGTGGGGTTTTTCTCCATCATGTTCTTGATGAACTCTTTGGCTGTTGACACATAATATGGACAGAGTTCAGTTCAGCGTACAGTAGCATGATTCCTCTATGTTACACACAGTTTTATTAAAGCTCTCGAAAACACATCTAAAACCCTTCATTAGGAACACCTGCATATGAAGAGAACGTGTGAACCCACAAACAGGAGGATGCTCGGTGGTGCCAAACACGGCTGCTGATTGATTGGACTCTCGCAACAAGATTATCTAGAGTTCACACAGAAGGTTGACTTGTAGAAAGGCAGCAGTGTCCTGGATGAAAGTGCCTTGTTGTTGCTGAGCGATCGGAGCAGATTGATGGCCCATGCTAAGACCAAGCCCTGGAAAGGCCCAGCTACGTCTGCAGCCTGTCCGCAGCTCACACACAAAACATTTCACTGCATGTTGTACTCTGCATGATTGTGTATGTGACTAATAAAGCTTGTTTGTTTGATGTAAATTCTATGAGTTCAAGATGGAGTTTTTCAAAGAGGAAGAGGATAGGCAATGCTGTGTTTGTTCACAAAAGTAAGGCCACCACAGCTGGAACAATCACTGCTCTACTCCCTGTATTTAGGACAGATCACGCTGATGTTTGTTTGCTCGTGTTACTCCGCTGTGGCTTTTGTTGGGTGGAGTACTCCTGCCTCCCTGCATCTCCGTGTCTGGTCTGTTTAGATTTCTATCTTCCCAGTCATGTCAGCGTGTCTGTCTGCTTTCTCACTGTTCCTTTTAGATGTTCATAAAACTTGACCTCTGACCTTGACCTTTATTGCAAGGTCACTGAGATTCAAACTGGTCCAAGATTTTTAGTAGATACACCTGTGGTATCAGTTTGAAGCTCCTAAGTTGCCTCATTGCCGAGTTATTGCTCAAACTTGAGTGTCTACACTTGACGATAATACCCCATCAGCCTTTTACAGCTGAGGGGCGAAAATGACAAGAAAGTCTGGTTCCTTGGAGGTCAAATATAAAGAAACGAGGTGGATCAAGATTTGCACTGTTCTCATACTGACATCTGCATGATGGATCAGTGTCAGGCTAATGTTCCCGGGAAGCTGTGATTTTAGATCCTGCATGTGATTTTTGCCAGGTTTGGAACTTAGTCTGTACAGTCACATGAATAATTCCCTCTTTAAATGATAGTGAAACAGTGCAACCTAGTGTAATGTAAGTGTGTTAGAAAAAGGACTGGTTGTCATATTTCTTGCGGTTTATCTGACCCAGTCTCAGCTATTTACATCGAGTACAAATGAAGGAAAGAGGAGGGTCAGTACTGAAAACTGTGGTGTGTAGCTGTTAGCATACCTGATTCGGAGATGTCATCCCAGAAGGGCGAATGAAAGGCGTACTCAGCTCTCATGATCTTTGAAAACAAACGCTTCTCGTTTTCTTCAAAGAATGGAGGGTAGCCACAGAGCCTGCAGCACACACACAGCCTTTCAGATACCGCCGATTTGGATCAACTCTGGATTACTTTAGCAACCATCGTCATGCTTATATGATATTTATACAATATGCCCAGACGCGGGTTTCATCAATTTGCTGGGTTTCCTCAGCTACTGTATTAAACGGGCAGAGCGGTCAAAGCCTTTCAGCACAAACACATTCACAGAAATGTTGTTAAGCAGCGTGAAACAAGCTGATTTACACAGCAGGACAAAGAAAATGCTTAAACTGACACTGTTGGGTCTCAAATCAACCTTCTGCTCAACCATCTCTGATTTGGATAAAAATGTTACAACAGAAAATATGAACATTGATAGTGAGGGCTGTGAAATTTCAGCTTCATATAGCAAACACTTTTCTTCTTTTTATGGACTATCGACACGGAGCTGTGAAGCAGCGTTTGAGCATAAATGTCTCAGACTATTAAATATAAAAGTACTTTCACTGAGGAGCTGTAATTTGAGACAGATACATTACATGTCTGAGTACTGGCTAGTGAAAATATGAAAACAGTCCAGGCCTCCTGTAAAGTTCATTTGAGCACACATTAATAAAACATGAATGGTATACAGTTATACCATATGTTGGTGCATGCTTCATCATCCAGCTGACTGCAGCTTTCCCCAGTCTCATAAACAGTACAAATATTCATGCAAACTGGAAAAGTTCAAAAACTGGCTATTTGAGATGGATGCATTGAATATGATGGCAGCAACATTTCTCACTTGAACTTGGTAGAGGGCCACAAAAGAAAAGAAAAACAGTGCAATATATCCTCAAACGACTCCAGGAAACTGGAGAAATCTGTGTGCGTAATTAAAAACTGCATCCTTCTGTCGTGCACGTCACTGTATGTGACCTGTTGAACCACACCATAAACTAAAGCTCTCTGTGCAGCTGCCATCTTTGTACCAAAGCTCAGAGAAGATGCGTTCCCCTCCACACAACACTTTCTGCAGGCTCTGCACAGACAAAGAGCCACGACAGCAGCTACGTTCACATACGAGATGAGGACGACATTCCTTTCCCCAAATCCAAACGACTCCCTCCTCAGCTTCCAGACATTATGAAAAGTGTGGATGCTGCACGGTGGTAAACATGGCCCCGCCCAACCTTTCGGTACCTGTTGCTTCCACCAAATTCAGAATGAGCTGATGTTTTTCTAAAATTAGTAAATTGTCTCATTTTCAACATTTGATCGATTTTCTATGATGTATGGATGCTTTTACAGCAGAGATCATTTGATCCCGTCTTTGATGAGTTGATGAGCTTTACAGATCCTTCTGGTCTGATTTATATTTCACACTGTTGGGCTTTGGAGCACACAGCTTTGTGTTCAGTGCCCAACCTTCCAGCTCGTAGTGACCGGGCTACTGCTGGTGCCACAGTTACACAGTGGAAGTAAATACTGCAGTATGTGGTGACTCTAATATTGTACAAGTGTTCATGTACTTCTGACTTTTGGAATATGAATAAAATCAATAACTGATGAATGTTCGCAGTTCTCCATAAATGATCAGTGAATATTCATGTATACAGTTAGCCATGTTATTATGAACGTGCAGGCCTGTACTTACAGAATATAAGTGATGACTCCAATTGACCAGCAATCCACTGCTTTGCTGTAGGGTTTCTGGGCCAAAACCTCCGGAGCTACAGAAAGCAGGACAAACAACGTGCAACATAAGCACCATTATAAACAACAGACTGTTTCCACTCCAGAAAAAGTCTCGTTAAAGCTAATATGTTAAAGCTAAGTTAATATATGGTTCAAAAGAAAAGGCAAAAAGTTGCCTTTTACAGCATTATTCCATCTAATAATATTTCTCACAGTATTGATACTGCATTACAGTTGTTTATTGAAGATGTCCATTTGAGGATCCTTCCATTATCTTAACTTTTATTACAAGTACGGTTGGAAGTATTTTATACACATTGCATATCTGTGCTTATTTTGAGTTGATGTTCGGTTCATTAAGGGTCTTAAGCTTCACTGGCGTGACTGTCCAGGTGATACATGCTGAGGGAAACTAGAACATAGAAGGATAACTGCAATGCATGCTTACAGTACATATAATACATATAATCTAGGAATGTGTCCGGCCTGAGGCCTTAACTCATTTGGTGTCTTACTATATTTTATTCTACTTGGTAACAGATGATCAGAGTCCCTGAGGGCTTGAAGTGTATTACCTTGTATGGAAGGTGTTAGAGAAAAGAGAAGTTCTATGTCTGTTTATAGCCATTAAAGATGTACGATTAACTGTGACTAATGTCTGGAACCTATTTTAATCTGTCATTGACGCCATGGGGGGGCGTGCGTGTACCCCACTGCTGTATAAGTATCCACAACATGTATTTTGGTCAGAAGACATATGCTGATGTTTTCTCCGGGCTGTCAATAAACTCGTTTGATTGCACTTTTCTGGGGCCTCCGTGGTTTGTGACTCTGCTCTACATGGATCGATTTCGCAACATTTTCAATAATAATAAGATCAAAGTCCAGTTTATTTATATATCACATAAAAAACAACAGAGCTGACCAAAGTTCCCTTCCTGCTGCTCCACCTGCTCGTTACGTTCACAATAAATCAAAACGAGCCCTCCAGTTCGTGCTGTCACTGCCCACATGAGCACTGAAGCCTCTCAGCAGGACGATGGAGCACCCCACCCAGTGACTCCTGGGAGGTTACGTACTGTCATTCAGCACATACACAATAACTGTCTGATTTATGAAAACTGGTTTTTTTCTTGCTCCAGTGTGATGGCATTTTCACCAAAGTAATTGTTTGTGGTATTAAGCTGTAGTACAGTAAAATGGTGCTTTCCCACAGCAACAATGTATAAATGGTCTATCACTGCAGAGGGAAAACAGTAAGTATGTCAGTCTATCATTGTAACTATATCACACATTACATATGCAGAAAATGGTTAACTCACCAACATATCCTGGTGTTCCACAGGCTGTAGACATCACTCCATGCTCCAGCGTCTTAGACAGACCAAAGTCACTCACCATAATCTTTGCATTCTCATCTGTATTATAGTACAGCAGGTTTTCAGGCTGAGAGAACAGGAAAAGCAAGACATGAAATACAGAAACGTACCTAAAATGTTTAAACACACTCATTAAACATCTGTTAAAGTCATTTTACCAAACATGTCAACATCTGTGGCTTTCACTTTGCTACTGGGAGCATGTTTATGCCTTTGTTATGGTGGCTCTTTTGTGTCTTACCTTAAGATCCCTATGCACAATGCTGTTTTCATGCAGGTAGCTGACAGCCTGCAGCACCTGTTTGATCACTTTGCTGGCATCCTTCTCAGTATAAACACCTTTGTCTAAAATGCGATCAAACAGCTCCCCACCTGATACCCTGCACAAAACAGAAGAAGAGTTATCAGCGTTTATGTCTGGCAATCAGGTCTTCTGAACTTCTGCAGGACGGTAGACTAAGGACGACCATGGTCCACCTTTGAGAAATTCATCGAATGATATAATAACCGAAAATGTTGTTCCGCTGTGCAAACAGACTTCGAGTAGCATTTAGGAAATGTGCCTATGACAGGTTTGTCCTTACCATCATCTGTGTGAATCAGAGCCATCTGAAATCAGCACTCTTGTGCTCACTAACTGCATACAGTACTGCCATTTCCCCAGTTCTCTGTTTAACAAACAAGGAGAGAAACTTGCACCGCTAAGGCCAAAGTAGCACTGAGCAGTGCTGGTTTTCTAACACTGGAAAATAACTCAAAATGTTAGAAATATTCCAGTGTTAGAAAATCAGCACTGCTCAGTGTTAGTCTTTGTAAATCTTGAAAACTGACTAGGTTACTTTTAAACATACAACACTGTCAAAAGTGTTCATTTAACACTCAAAAGAGTGGACACATATAGACACTCTCTAGTGTTAATGTAACACTGGAGATTTTGCGGTGTAGCTTGTGCAAACCGAGCTGGCTGAATACCCAACACACACACCGGTGCGTCCTAACAATCTGGAGGGTCCCCACCAAGCACTGTTACAACCCTAGTCTGCAGTGGGACCTGTCTGCTTTGCTGAGAGATCCAGAATGCCTCAAGGGTCCATGGCTCCCCCTGTGTCTGTGCCTGAGCACCCTGAATCCATGGTTCCTGCTCCACCAGTGCCTGTGGATCCCTCACCACCCAACCGAGACCTGAGTGGTCCCGTCACTTTCTTTGCCAGTGCCAGGCCTGGTCCCCTGCAAGCCACTGAAGACATCCCGTCTCCTTCGCCTCTCCTTTTGCTGCTGGTAATGCGGCCAGCCCCCTGTTCATGAGTGGATGACTGGTCCACTTCAGGGGATATTTTGTGAGGCTCAGTAGTGCAGAGTGACCTGAGGCCCCTCTCATGGAACCATGTCTACATTCAGAAGTCCTCCATACTGAGACATTAAACATGAAGAGGACAGAATGAAAGACAGAGAGGGGGCTGAGGGAAAATATGTGCATTATAATTATACTATTAACCTTACCAGCAGCAGCAGCAGCAAGCAATAGATTGTGAAGTACTACGTAACTGAATTCTGTGTATGCATATTTCCATTTCCATATCCATCACATACAGGTGCACATAGGGATTATCTATAATGATCTAATAGAAGATTTTCCACTGTAACACGCTCAGGTTATGTTTTTGATTCCAGGATTTGGAGGATGGCTCTTTCTGCAATAGTTCGGGCTGTGAAGAGAACATTAGCAGTAGAGTTTTGTTACTGTAGCGTTGACATGTGTCCTGGGATGAACATTGTGAGGAGACGTGGTAATCTAGTATTACATATTTCACATCAGACTTTGCACAGACAGAGGTCATGTTCCAGATGTGATACAGGTATTAATGTAGTTGCACACAGTTGTGTAAATATTGGGTTTTCTTTGGACTGGTAAGATTTAGCAGTTTTTACTGCTGCCACCTGGTCCTGCTCCACCACAGCTCTCCACGCCACTTTGTCCTGCTCTGCCAGAGGTCTTCACAATGTCTGGTCCTGTCGCACTAGAGGTCTCTGCACTGTCTGGTCAGGCTCCACCCGAGTCTGAGGTAATCTCTTACCTTCAGGTCCTGCTCTGCCCAGGTCAGAGGTCACCGTGTGGCCGTCTGGCCCTGCTCCGCCCATAGCAGGGCGCCTCCGTCTGTGTCGGGTCCCTGCCTCTGCCGCCTTCGTCAGCCTCCAGTTCTGTCCTCCGAGGGTCTCCGCCACCATCACCAGCCTCCAGCCAAGCCATCTGAGGGTCTCTGCCTCCACCCATGCCTGCCACGCAGGGTTCTACATCTGCTCTGCTTTCGTCGCTCAGACTTGGTAGTCGACCATGACAACAGAAACCTTATAGGTGCTCCACGTTCCACGTTTAGTCGGCCTTCTCCTCATGTCTATTTCTGTCCTGTCCCAGCATCTTAGTGTTTGTCTCTGTGTTTATTGTACTTTCTGTTTTATTTTGAGTCTCTTGTCCAGTCTTCACTTTTGCTTCTCCTGTCCTGTTAGTCTGTATTAGTTCCAGCTGTGCTCCCACCTGTTGCCCATCCTCTCGTGTGTGCATTGATGTCCTTAGTCTCCGTCTACTTGTTGTTGCATTGTCATGCTGCGTATTCTGCAGTTCTGTGGTTCACCTGTAGGTGCTAGATTCCACATTTCTATGTTTTCCTGTTCTTTAGCTCAAAGTTTTCTTTTCTTGTGTGTTTATGAGTTTCCTTAGCACAGCAATAAAGCTGAGTAATTCCTTTGATTTTTCCAAGACGTGAAGCTTAATGTTTTATTGTTGATGATGAAGTCTGAGGAGGCTGAAGCTGTAGAGCAATGAAAGCAGTGGTGTTTGTGGATAGCTGGGCTGATAAAGTGCACGTCTCACTTTCTAACCACAGTGAATTGGACTGAGGGTAAACAATGTGTTTTAAGGTGTTTGACTCTAGCGTGCTTGTAGACCTCCTTGAGATTTGGGGTTTTGTAAAGTGTAACGTTGAATGCACAGTGTCACAGTGGTTAGCAGTGCCTCGCAACAACAAGGTCCTGGGTACAAATCCTTTCTGTGTGCACTTCTCCCCATGTCTGCGTGGATCCTCTCCACATACTCCAGCTTCCTTCAACATGCAGTTAGTGAGCTCAGGTTAATTAGTGATTCTAAACTGGCTGTAGGTGTCTGTCTCTGTTTGTTAGCCCTGTGATAGACCCATGACTTGTCCAGCATGTACCCAGCCCTGTGGTGGCTGAGACAGCCTCCAGCACAACTGGGATTGTTGAGATAAGATCATGGATTTCAAGAAAGCCATTTAACTGTTGCTATCCATCCACAGAGTGATATGCAGAGGCTGATCCAGCAGTTTAAATCATCTTTTCCCGACTTATGCAACAGAATAAAATTAAGGCTGAACAACTCTATCAGCTTGGAGGAAACACGGATTTCTAAATATTTAAAGTTTCTTGTGTAAAGATAGTAAAAGGTCTGCTACAACTGCCTCATCCATACAAGGTGGTAAAATATTGGATTTGGACCCGTTTATTGACGAGTTGTGGCAGCAAAGAATGGGGGTCCCTAAGGAGTAACAGCACATCATTAAGGAGAACTGGATGTTCTGTATTAAACTGCCAGCTGAAGACATCTCTGTCTTATAGCAGCCGCAGTGGTTCTGTGAACAATAAAAATAGAAATGGAAAGAGAAGAATGTGGATATTTGATGACACCAAGAAATGATGCCAATAATTTTTCAATGATCGTACAATATGTTTGTAAAATATAAAGATTAAAGCCGACCTTTTTGTTTTTGATTTGAAATGTAACAGCTTGGTGTATTCTGTAAAACAGCCAATAATGAGCAAAGAATGGTAATAATACAACAGTTATCAGATGGTTCAATAAACTCCATTTAAAAAAAATCATTTTAGCCTTTAAGGGGTTAAAGGCTTGGTGGCATGAAGGAACGACACATAGCTATATTAGTTTGTACCAATATTATTTATTCAATTTGAACAATAATTCAGCCTATTTTAGCAAAAAAAGGCTGAATTGTTACTGTTCTGTACACACTGTGTACTCGCATTGTTAATGTAAGATTATACTGCAGTAATAATTGTCAGTGTTGCATTATTTCAAGGTAAATATTAATAGAAAGTCAGCTAAACAGTTCCACTTACAGCTGCATGACCAGGTAGTAGTGTGTTCGACTCTCGTAGAAATCCTCCAGCCCCACCACATTGTCGTGCTTTATCCTGAAATAGTAAGAAGCAGGAGGATAACTCGTTCTTATTCTCTTTAACCTTTGACATGTTAGGCAGCAGAACTAGTCACCGCTAGACTTTATTTATTACACATTTGAATAAGTGTGTGTGTTTGTTACCTCCTCAGCACATTTATTTCATTTTCTAGGTTGCTATGGGCGAGATGTTTTTTCTTCAGACATTTCAGAGCATACATTTTCCCAGTTTTCTTCTCTCTCACCATGAAAACCTCTGAAAATGAGCCCCTGTGCAAAAACATCAAAGAGGATTAATGACAGCCTGATCAAATGCTAGAAACAACTTTATCTTGGTTAACAGTTTTATTTTGTTTGTTCTTACAATCCTCTCAGAGATCTACAGAAACATCTTCCCAGGGCGATGGATCCAGCAGTACTACAGACCCCTGGAACAAGCAGGGGCTAGCTGCTCAAACATAAGCTCCACGACTTCTTTATTACCTCATTTGAAAGCATTTATACTGGGTTTGCTTTTTAACAGGTAAAATTCAAAGGTGTGAAAGAAATACTAAGTTTAACTAGGACAGTGGCAAGCACATCATCCAAGACCAAAACCCTTCGATCATATCATTTCATAGAAAGCTGATCTAAAACCTGCAGGACTCCGGCCCTCCAGGCCTGGGGTTGGACACCCCTGACCTACTGTAAAGTAAATACCATCTGGTGGTATGTTTGAGAAACTAGCATTAAAGCAACAATTACCTCCTTACGTTCACACTGATGCCAACCCCCCACCACCACCAGACTGAACTTTAACAGCAGCAAAGTTCTGGTTTCAAACCTTTCCTGCGTTTCCTGTGTGGTTTTTATCCTGGCCCCACCATCCAAACATGTTTGTTACCTGCTGATTCTAAATCAGCTGTCGCTGTGGCTATGAGATAAACACTTTTTAATGTGTGCTTGTATGAATCAATAAACACATCTCATACAACACGGTGCTTTGAATGATGACCGAGGCTAGAAGAATGATGTATAAACACCACTTCATTTGACTTTGTGTACAACAAATCTGCTCTACATTTCCTGAGGAACAGCACATGTTGACCTGCACACAGACGCCGACACCTGTTCATAACACCTGCCTTTAATTACGTTCAGCACATACATTCACAAGTGTAGGCAGCCAGACACTTAATCCTGTAATGAAGCAGTGCTAGGATGTTCTCAGACTGACGTCTCACACACAGGAGCCTTACTCATGCACTCTGTGACGGGTTTATTAACTCGCTCTTAAACAGCTCCTAACGTTAATTTAATACGTTGCTGCTCTTCACTGATTTAGTGAAGCCAGTATCTCCCAGGTTAGCAGCCAAAACACTTTTAAACAGTATGAGAAACCTTTACAACCAGCTGCCTTGTATCCATTTATAACTTTTCCATTCGGGTTTGTCTACGAAGTAACCATTTCAGAGTGTGGAAACAGTAGCACAGCAAGGATCACCTTCTTTCATTTCCCATAACATTGTGTTAACATTGTGTATTATTCACAGAGAACTGTGGAACTGAGGCACATTATAGCGCTGTTCTGGTCCTAATGATGACCAAAGTTACATTTCATTTACTGCATACATATTCAACACTTTATCAACCTTACAGACAATTTGAAATCACCAGTAAATGTAACATGCTTACCTTTGTACCAAAAGGAAGCCCACACAGGAGTGTGGAACATACACACTCCACACATAAAGGCCACAGCCGATCAGAATGTCCCAACCCAGAAGCTGCATATCTAACAGTACAATAGTAACAGGTTCACACATGCACTGCAGCCCTGAGCATGACTGGGATGGACCTGAGAGAGGTTAATGAAAGCAAATGCATCCTGTCTCCTGTCAGCTCCACGGCTCAGCCTGTTTCCACTGGTGACATCAGACCAGTTCCTACATCATCATTCTCTGTTCATGTGTTTGTGTGGAAAACCAACTTTGGATTTATTAGCTCCTGTTACTAAACAACAATATAGAACTTTTTCAACTGAGAAGGAAGTGAAAATATATATCGTCTTCACATAGATTACTGATTGGCAGAGCTAGCTCGAAATTTCAAGTTAATAAGCGGAAATTTTGAGAAAGATAACTCAAAGTTTCGAGTTATGGATGCTTTTTTTGTGGCAGAAACGGCTTCCATAGTCAGGGGTGCCTGCAGCTCAGCGGATAGAGCAGGTCTTCTGCTAGGCAAGATACTTTGAATATGTGAGAATGATAGCTAGAAAGCTAGTTAGCTAGAAACACAGAAGCAGAGCTTGTGTGAATATTGCATAAAGTGTGTTGAGTGCTCCGGGAGGCTTAGAGGTTCCTCACACAGAAGCATCACCATGAGTGAAAAGTACTCACGAGCCCATCTTCCCCTTGAAGTCAAACACGTCCTTGATGTTACTGGTGCTTTTCTTCCAGCTGCAAACAATCTCCTTCTGGCCCATCTTAGCCGTAGTTTCCTGAACAACCACAAATCACATCAGTTATTCATGCTGACAGTGGAAACGTGTACTTATACATTACACCACGCAACACATGTGAAAGTGCTGCTGAGCCAAAGTTTGCAGTATTCCAGTTTACTCCAGTGTCTACATATAACCAAGTGACTGTAGTTACTGTGTGCACTGATGCACTGTGCCTCAGTACACAGAGTCAGGTTTGAGTCGATATGATGCTGAAATAAATCATTACAGTAAGTGAGGTTTCATTTATTCAGCTATACAAAGGAAAAATACCAAAACGTCTGCGTTTTCATTTGATGCACTGTAGCATCAAAGCACATGAAACCTATGTGTATAAAGGACAGTTCTTGTGTGTCCCTGTGTCCTCTGTGTCTGTGTCCTTGCGTCGCTCTGTCCTCTGTGTGTGTGTCCTTGTGTCTCTCTGTCCTCTGTGTGTGTCCTTGTCTCTCTGTCCTGTGTGTGTCCTTGTGTCTCTCTGTCCTCTGTGTGTGTCCTTGTCTCTCTGTCCTGTGTGTGTCCTTGTCTCTCTGTCCTGTGTGTGTCCTTGTGTCTCTCTGTCCTCTGTGTGCATCCGTCTGTCCATCTGTCCTCTGTGTGTCCTTGTGTCCCTCTGTCCTCTGTGTGTGTCCGTCTGTCCATCTGTCCTCTGTGTGTCCTTGTGTCTCTGTCCTCTGTGTGTCCTTGTGTCCCTCTGTCCTCTGTGTGTGTACTTGTCTCTCTGTCCTCTGTGCGTGTCCGTCTGTCCATCTGTCCTCTGTGTGTGTCCTTGTGTCTCTCTGTCCTCTGTGTGTGTACTTGTCTCTCTGTCCTCTGTGCGTGTCCGTCTGTCCATCTGTCCTCTGTGTGTGTCCTTGTGTCTCTCTGTCGTCTGTGTCCCGCCCCGTCTCCCTATGTCTGCGTGTTCCACGTCTCTTGTTGTCACAGTCTACATCGTTGTGTGTGTTCAGGTTTTTCTTCCCCTGTGGCGTCATGTTCATGTGTGTCAGCTGTGTCTCCCTCTGCTCATCATCTGTTAACTTCCCAAGTCTCAACTGTTCGTGTATTTTCTAGTGTTCCTGGTTTTCGTGTATTTAGTTTTCCAAGTTTAGGATCTTGTGATTAGTTTCTCATTTAGTTGGTTTTCATGTTTGGTTAATGTTTTGTTTTCGGCCATAATAAAAGGCACGCTTTTAGTTCCAATCTAGTTCTGTTACTCGATTATGAGAGAGTGGTCTGAAAAGTTCATTTCTTAGCCTGGGGATGGGGATGTACATAGAGTTTATACACATCTGATGCTTTGGAGAATGGAGGACTGAACCCTAAGCCTATCTAGTCCTTCACAACCCTTAAGATGTCACCCCAGTTCCCCCGTGTTACATAAACAGTTGCATGTCCAAGCCTGAGCTCACTTCTCTCTGGCAAAGCCCATTTCTACTTATCAGGGCCACAGGATTCAAAAAGGCAGAGGATTAGAGCGATAAATACCTGTGCTTACTTAATCTCCCCGTCCAGCCTGCCTTCTCCTGCACTCCTGCCATATCCCCTGACAAACACTGCTTGATTTATTATGTGGACTTGAAACTGAGCTTCCTTGAATATTGGCAGTGCATACTAAAAGTCATATGTTAAATTATGACATGTGTATATTTCATTAGTTTTTGGAAAATTTGATAACATTTGAAAATTTGATAACATAAACATACAATAACTTAACATTACACAAGTGCTAATTATCTATGCTGGAGACAAGAGTGTTTTATTAAATGTAAAGTTACATTTGTTTTCCTATTTACAGGATAATTCTTATGTCCAGCTATTAAACGATTTGTAAACAGAGAGAGAGAATAACTGAAATGAACGCTTACCTTAATCACAGACGTGAAATAAACGGAGCATTTGCCAGAGGACCTGTGCGCAGTCGGTTGAGGTATCCCAGTGGTGACCCGACTGTTTCTGGTGGCTCCTCCTCTTCTTGAGCAGGGGCGGGGCCTCCCCATACATCTCTTCCACAGTGCTGCATTCACAGAGCCATGGGGCTTACATTACAGCGCCAGGATTGAGAAGATGATGAGACTGCATAATTAAAGTGATAGTTCCAAACGGAACTATCACTGCATCCAGAAAAATCACACTTTACCTGTTTTATTCAGTACAGTGCACGAATGCAGGGAGGCAAGTTCTCCCACCCTTCCCTCCCCTCAGGGTAAGAGTTTGGGTGTCATACTTGATAATACTCTTTCATTCCAGTCTCACATTAATTCCATAAGTCTTATTACGTCCCGCATTGATTACTGCAATTCCCTCTTATTTGGTCTCCTTAAAAGGTCCCTTCATAAACTCCAACTTCTCCAAAACTCTGCAGCTCGGGTCATAACTCCTACTCTGTCAAGAGCTCATATTGCAACAGTTCTTCAGCAGCTTCACTGGTTGCCCGTAGAAGCCAGGATAAACTTTAAAATCTTACTGCTCACGTACAAGTGTGTCCATAAATCTGCTCCTTCATATTTGTGTGAGCTGCTCCATATCACCACTGTTTCCCGCCCTCTCAGATCCTCATCTGCTGTTCATCTTACTGTTCCGCACGTCTCATCACTGTGGGGAACAGAGCTTTCAGTCGCTCTGCTCCTCGCTCTGGGACTCTCTTCCTCCTGCACTAAGAAATATTGACTCTCTTTCCATATTTAAGTCACAGCTCAAAACACATCTGTTCAAACTGGCTTATTCGCTTTAGTGCTGATTTTATCTGTTGTCAAGCTCTGCAATTTTAACTTATTATGTATTTTATGACTATTGCTCCTTTTATTAATGCTGTTCTTTTGTAAGGTGACCTTGGGTTTCTGAAAGGTGCCCTCAAATAACATATATTATTATTATTATTATTATTATTATTATTATTATTATTATTATTATTATTATTATTATTGTTATTATGTGTAAATGTCTGGTTATTTACCCCAAACCAATACAATTTACTGAATTTACTGCATCCAGTTTCTTCATTCATCCACTGCTTATCAGGGTCACGACGGCCTATCCCGCTGCCATGGAGCAAGAGGCAGGCTCCACCCACAGCAGGGCGCTAATCTGTCACAGAGCTAACTCATAGGCTGCGTTCACTCTGCAGGTCTTAATGCTCAATTCCGATTTTTTGATCAAATCCGATTTTTTTGTCTGCTCGTTCACACTACAAATAAAATGCGACAGCAAACGCGCTCTAGTGTGAACGCTCAAAGCATGCACAAAAGAAGACGTCACACACAACGCGCTCTGTTTAGACCCAGAGCAAAGAGTATTGTTTGACTGATGGCCCTTCATATAAAGACTTCGGACTTCACGTTTCCCATTTTTTGCTTTAAGTTATTTTGTTATTTACATAATAATGTGAATAACCTAATAATGATCCTTATTGCTGTTTCAGAGGATAGCTGCAGATTTCTGTCAGAATCTGCAGATTATACAGTACAAAGAAAATGTTCACGTTTCTCCAACGCTGTCTTCCCAGCAGTTTCACCGGATGGACAGGAAGCGTTCACGATGTCTCCTCCGGCGCTGATAATTGGCGTCTGTCTATGGGGCGCCGTTTGTAAAGTGAAACATGCTGAAATTAACGGCAGCATTTTTCCACATTTAGCTCAAAACAAGTCATTTTTTTACAACATTTAGTAAAATATTTGTAACTTTTCATATTTAAAACAGAATTTTAAATGTTAAATCTAAATGTTAAAT